CAGGATTGGGTTGCATCGACACCTGAACTAATGATAGGGAGTGAAGTAGTTGAGCGTGTAGACCACTTCACTTATCTTGGGAGTCTCATTAGCCCTTGTGATCTGGTGTGTGACGAAATCTCAGCACGGATACAGAAGGCTCGTCTAGCTTTCGCCAACTTGCGTCACTTATGGCGTAGGCGAGATATCCGTCTAGCAACCAAAGGACGGGTTTACTGTGCAGCAGTTCGTTCCGTCCTACCTTATGGCAGTGAAACATGGCCAATAAGAGTAGAGGATATTCGTAGGCTACTAGTATTCGATCATAGGTGTCTTCGAAACATTGATCGTATATCCTGGGACCATCGGGTAAGTAATGCAGTTGTTAGGAAACGAGTACTAGGTAGGGATGGCAAATCGATTGATGAAGTACTGAAACTTCATCAGTTGAGATGGCTGGGACATGTGTTACGTATGCCCGACCACCGACTGCCCCGACGTGCAATGTTTTATGGTGTAGGAGTATGTTGGAAGAAAGCTAGGGGTGGGCAGACCAAAACGTGGCACAAATCAATGAAGTCACTGACAAGTGGAGTGGGCCATGTTGGTAGGTGTAGACTACCTGGTTGGGATTCGCGAGATGACAGCAACCGATGGTTAGAGACCTTGAATGACATGGCTCAAAATCGTTTGCAATGGCGAAGGTGCATCCACTCTTTGTGTTCTACGAAATTCTAATCTTCTGAATTCTTCATGTCCGTATCCTTTTTCTCTTTCCAAATTTATTTCACTGGATTATGCTCCTTTAACAACATCTTCAAACCCTTATCTTTCACATTAATGCTTATACTCTTACTACTTCTACCACTATGGGATTTGAATCGACAACTGCATCTCTGTGCTAATGTGGTATGGCAACTCGAACTGATGTACGTAAGTACGTACGAAGTTCTACGTTGTGACTGACTGACTGAGATGGTTAGGTCACACGTTACGTATGCCTGAACACCGATTATCGCGACGCGCTATGCTGACTAGTGTAGGGGATGGTTGGTAAAGAGTTAGGGGCGGCCAAACCAAAACGTGGCATCAGTGCTTGAAGTCACTAACTTCTAGTGTGAGCCATGTTGGCAGATGCAGACTACCTGGTTGGGGTCCGCGTGACTATCGTAACCAATGGTTGGAGACTCTAGGTGACATGGCTGAGAATCGATCACAATGGCGTAGGTGTATACACTCTTTATCTTCCCTTAAACCTTGAGATTAAAATTGCTTTATATCTGTTTTTCTTCCTATACTATATCCTTATATACAACCTATCTTTTATATACTACCACCACTAAATTAACTATTTCTATGAATCCGGTGTTCATCTTGTTGTGCTAACGAGTTATGGCGACTTGGACCGATGCATATGTGTGCCTGGTCCTACGTTGTAGCTGACTGACTGACTGTCCAGGGTTTCGAAAGAGACCCATTCCTAATGATGATGCTTCTTGCGACCTAGAACCTTCTAACCCGTTGAAGTTAATGCTTCTTTGATACCTTTCCAGTTGTCCTCCATAGTAGTTTCTTGTTCGTTCAGTAAATTCTATAAGGCTTGGAACCCGTTGTTTAGAGTTATCTTGAATCCATTGAGTTTGTTAGTATCTCGAAGAAAGGCTGTATTGAACCTTTGTAGTGCTGTTTCCCCAGTTGTGCAGTGTTTCTTTAGCTTCAGTTTCATCTTGGCAACCAGCAGGTGGTGATCTGAAGCTATGTCAGCTCCTCACCTGGTCCTCACATCTTCCATTGTCCTTCGGAAATTTTTATTGATACAAATATGATCTATCTGGTTCTCTGTGGTGTGGTCCGGTGAGATCCATGTAGCTTTTTGTATGCGTTTGTGTGGAAATATTGTGCCGCCTAGAACCAGTTTGTTGAATGCAGATAGATTTGCGAATCTCTCCCCATTTTCGTTTCTCTCTCCCAGTCCATGTCGTCCCATTATATCTTCACATCCGGTGTTGTCCATCTCGACTTTGGCGTTTAGATCTCTCATCAGGATGGTCAGGTCTTTTCCTGGGTATTTTGTTATAATCGATTGCAGCCTCTCGTAGAACTGATCTTTATTGTCGTCGTTGCTATCATTGGTGGGTGCATAACATTGGATAACATTTATTGTGATTCCCTCCTTCTTTATTTTGAAGGATGCTTTGATGATTCTGGATCCATGAGATTCCCATCCTATAAGTGCATTTCGTGCTTCTCTGAGCATCATTATAGCAACTCCCTGTATGTGTGGAGCATTTCCCTCTTCGTGACCGGAGTACAGAAGCATCTCTCCCGTATTTAACCTTTGCTGTTCAGCTTGGGTCCAACGAGTTTCGCTGATTCCGAGTACTGCCAAGTTGTATCTCCTCATTTTCATTGCTATTTGAATTATCTTCCCGGTCTCCCACATTGTCCGGACGTTCCATGTACCTACATTGATTGTTGCTCTGGTCGTTAAAAGGGGCATCGCCCTCGTGACTTCTGGATTATCTCGGCCTTCATCATGGGGCGTCATAATTCTTCCTTCAACTCCCATGGCAGTTTAAATGGTTTGAATTATTTCTTCTGGTTAGCGTTTTGTTAGAGGGTTAGTTTTCTATGGTATGGGCTCGATAATCCCATGCCCGACCCACCTCCTTTACCCGGGTTTGGGACCGTCAGTAACTCTAGAAGAGCTACAGGCGGGGTTTATTGACTATTACCTGTTATATATTTAAGACGGTAGAAAGAATACTCAGGGTAAGTTGAAACATGGTGCCTCCATGGAGTTAAATTAGAGCTGAGTCGCAAAGTTTCTATCCAGGGTGAAAATGAAGGTGTATGCAACTTCATCGAACTCGGTGCCTAATTTAGCGCCAGTGTGCATATAATGGAGATTCTGGAAGCCTAGGAACTGAAACTTAATGAGCACTTATGAGTGAGTTCACACCGGACAAAAAGCAAGGTTCGAGGTTTTGATTGGTTTGAGCCTAGCCTACGTTGTTAGCTGTAGAAATTTGAAGCGAAGGTTGCGAGTGATGTCGGAAAGAGAATAAAATTTTAAGCAGTTCGACACAATTAGACAGCTCGCCCTCCACATCCGAGGATAAAAATCTAACTGCTCAGTAAGTCATCCATACGATCTACTTCTATTTTTCCGATTTGACAGAATTTATACTTTGCTGCTTAAAGTGTCAGCAAGCATTAGTGAACTGAATACAAATATGAAGCTGGTACTCTCAAAGTTCACTGACCGCCAAGATCCGCGTCAATTTGACTGTGGACTATCCAGCCAACAGTTCCCTTTGTCATCAGAAGAGGAACTGGGAACTTTGGACGCTTGTCTAGAGCACAAAGACGTTAGGGACAGATTTGTAAGCACAACATGATTTTTATCATTCATTCCTATTACAGATGGCTATGTTGACACGTCTAATGGATGACGATCCTAAAACCTCTATGCGATATATTCTGTCGTACATCATGAAACCGGAAGTCGCCATTAATTTCACATTGCTGGGTACTTCATCAAAAAGAGCGATTCAGAAGTGCAGGTTTTACAGCTGCGCACGAAGTAAGATATATAGGGTTTTTAAACTTCAGGTGCACTGACTAATCGTTTCCTGTCGTCATCTATCAACGAGAAAGACCTTGCGAAACTCTATGACATGGCTACGCAAAGTTATTTCCACGACATGAGAGACAAAGTCCAGAAGCGTCATCGACGTAACAAGGAACACGTATGTACGGCTTTAAAGTGATTACTGTTTTTGCATTATCTATAGGAACAGTCTTTCGTAATCAAGGATATAACCGTAAGTCCAGATCCAAGTACCTTGTTGTGCAAAACAAGTTTCCTAGATTCAATAACGCTTTTCTTTATCACATTTTAGAATTCACAAGAATTGTTTGACTTTCCATAGTACAACAGGCCTGGTGGAAATAAAGAATACGTGAAATGCCTGGTCCGTGACAATGACAATTACATATGGAGCATTGATACTCTACCATCTGCCAACTGCTCATTACTTTGTACATTGAAATTTTTGTTTTCAATAAAAATTTGGAAATTATACCATATTTTACGTACTTTACATTATTCGTGTGCTGTGTTGTGGGAATGAAAGCGAACACAGGAGGCGGTAGCGGTAAATGCATTAGTGTGTATGTAGTGGAAAAGCAGTGAATGTAGCGGATATTGAAGGTAGAAGTCGGATATTTAGGGGAAAAGTCGGCTATTCGTCGGATATTTAGGGGAAAAGTCGGCTATTCGTCGAATATTAAGGGGAAAAGTCGGCTATTCGTCGGTTATTTAGGGGAAAAGTCGGCTATTCGTCGGATATTTAGGGGAAAACTCGGCTATTCGTCGGATATTAAGGGGAAAAGTCGGCTATTCGTCGGTTATTTAGTGGAAAAGTCGGCTATTCGTCGGATATTTAGAGGAAAAGTCGGTTATTCGTCGGATATTTAGGGGAAAAGTCGGTTATTCGTCGGATATTTAGGGGAGAAATCGGTAATTTAGCGACATTTGAAAAACAGAGCGACAGAAAGGGGAAATTACGCTTTATTTCCCCCGGACAGGCGAAAAAGCAGACATTTCGATGCATTTCCCCTTTATTTACGACTAATTTTCCAATGCATTTTCCGCTTTATTTCCCCTTTGTTCGCCTTTATTTCCCCTTTATTGGTTGTTTGGGAAGTGAGGTCCAACAATCCAGAAAGCATTCAAGATGTATCCATACTTATTAGTCAAAGTAATTAATAAAGATTAACAATGACACAAGTGTGAAATTAAGACAATCTGCCAGAAGACTAGTGTGCGACCCGATTAGCTGGCTGGAATTGCCGTTAAAGTTAATCGATTAACTTTAACGGGGGATCCCCCGATGAGATGCGTGTAAATTATCGGCTCAATTAGCTTCCAACTAACTGTGACTACTCAATAAAAAGTATTGATGTAAACGATCAAAGGAAGAACAATTTCAAATTAAAAATCGTCATTATCTTACCATTTAGCTAGGCAACAGCTCAATGGTATTGATGGAGGTTGTGAGCACTTGAAGGTCAAAACATTGTAAAACCATTGGTGCGTCACCTCGATAATTCGTAAAGCTTTGCATAAGCGGTCAAACCAATACAGCTTTAGATTTGATTTGAGTTCAGACGCGCTGTCTGATAACGTCCATCCTTCAAGTAAGGAGAACGATGCCATCGTAATGATGCATGATATAAGACAAATCTTCAGTGATATTATTTTATAGTGACGATTTAACAGTTAGGATAATTTTGAGACCTGTTTGAAGTAAGTATATTTGGTAATAGGACTTATGTAGTTGATAATTCTTTGTACAGCATACGCACACTAAGTATGTCATGTCATTATGTAAAAAGGACGGAGATGACCCTACTCTAAAGTATTTTTAATGAGACTACAGTTTATGGCCGACTTTTGAGCGACGCTGAAGTGACCTTGAGAGTCCACCCAATAACTAGGACCAAATGAGGGTTGTAAACCTGTATGAGGAATTAGAATGATGATTTACAGATAATGGCTAAAGTTGGAAATTAGATTTAGGGTTTTAATCACTAACTGATGTCGGCTATAATGCCAAAACTCTATTTGGCCAAATGGATGAGTGAGTTTTTCACCAAAATCCGAGATCTGTAATCTTATAACTTATAGTGTGGCCAGAAGAGGATGTCGGTCATCCATGTGCTTCATTTCAAGTAAATGTGTCCTTCAGGTTGAAATATTACCACTCCCGATCGGGATTTTAGGTCCATCACTACAGGCTGCTCTGTGGTCACATTTTATCCGCACATACCAAAGATCTTGTAGCGGCAAATAAATCCCCAAAATCGATAGTTCTGTAAGTTTTCGACATTGGCTGCTAACCATATTAGTTTTAATGGACTCACCTAGCTGAAGGTGCTCGGTCATGTATCCGCACCAGATCACGAATGGGAACGGCGTGCTCAACGTTTCCTGCGATCACTAGCCAGTTTAGATCTGTCACGTCTCGATATATTGATAGACTATCAAATGTTTCTACGAACCTCCTCGCTTCTGACTTTTGATTTCACTGGGTGAGCACGTTTCAATTATAGATGTTGTCAAACTACATTGCCTGTGGTATCTTCATTGGTGAGCCTAACGTGATCTGGTACACCAACCCATTACTGTGAGTCTGTTCCTTTTTGGAATTTAATAAATCGTCGCTTTATTTCAAATTTTATATATTTTTATATTTTTTCCTCGTTCATTCTCATACTTGTTATTTCACTATGACCGAACAGACACTCAAAATACTTAAGTTAAAGACTACGTCCCCACCTTCTTTTCAACTGATGCCCTTCTGGCTAGACAACATAGAAGCCTGGTTCTGCTAAGCAGAGGCCGGCTTCTGGGAGCACGGTATGACTGACCCACGCGCACAATTCCTCGTGGTAGTTAAGGCACTACCGCGCGAACCAAACAGGTACAACACACTTAGGATGTTTACTAGTGATGTTTCGGAACCTTACGAAAGCCTAAAACGGTCCATTCTGAAACGCGGAGATTTAACCGGTCGACCAAGGTTAAATCAACTACTTAATGACATCGATCTGAAACATAGTTTGTCAGCAGACATGTTGCTAATAGTGACAGGAGTTATTGGCCAAAGAACATTCGAAGATGGCCTATTCAGACAACTTTTCTTGCCTAAACTTCCTCAACCGGTGCAAGCTGTGTTGGTCTCGTTTCAAAACAATGCCGTAGACGAACTGGCTGCATCTGCTGATCCCATCCTGGAAATCACGAAGTCCTCTAATGCCGAAGTTGTTTCAGTCCAAGAAAAACCTTAAACGACCCAAAATGATATTACAGGACTATGTCATACGCTTACACACTACCTTACAGTTCGTAATGACCGTAAACAGTCACATACCCTCTAAGAAGTACTTCAAGTAGGCGATCTGTCTCCAGACGAAGAGAGACGGATAACTCCGACTGGTGCTGGTATCATAATCAGTATGGAAACTCTTCCAGAAATAGCAGAAAACCCTGCACTTACCCGAACTCAAAATCGAATGACACGAAAAACAATTGAGAAAACTTACCAGCCGGCACGCGTTAACGGCAACCATAACTGGCACAGATGTGAAAACGATAGTTAGCTACCTCGTCGATACTTGCGCAGAAGTTAGCGTTCTTCCAGCAAATTCTTACGACCAGCCTCACGAATCTGTTTTAAGCTTACAGGCGGCAAATTGAAAGCCAATCACTACATATGGTGAAAGGTACGTTTACCTTAACGTGGGTTTACGCAAACCCATTCACTGGATTTTCGTGGTTGCAGGTGTTTCCATGCCAATCATTGGTATCGACCTCCTACAACGCCACAATCTACTCATCGACACACGCAAACGAGGGTTAATAGAAGGAAACACTGATTTATCTGTTTGCGTAACTCCTTTTTCTGGTTGCAGATTATCTCCAGTTACAATTAGACACACAATAGACACATTATATCAACCATTACTAGATAAGTACTCTGGAATATACCAACCACAACCGAAGTTGCCGTGTGTGACCAGCAATGTTACACATCACAGAGCGACAACAAGACCACCTGTATTCTCGCAAGCACGCCGACTAGCTCCTGAAAAGCTGAGGTTGTCCAAAAATGAATTCGACCACATGATAGAGTTAGGAATCATTCGACCGTCATAAAAACCCATGACCATCTACCTTGCACATGGTCCCTAAAAAGGTCAGTAACAATTGGCGTCCAACTGGTGACTATCGGCATTTGAATGCAAAAACCATTCCCGATCGTTACCCGCTGTCTCACATTCACAATTTTACAGCTGTCTTGAAAGGTACAACTGTCTTTTCAAAAATCGACTTGGTTAAAGCCTTTAATCGAATCCCTATGGCTACTGACCATCGGTTGCTATCATCTCTCGAATCACAACCAGGTTGTCTACATGTTGGTAGGTGTAGACTACCTGGTTGGGATTCGCGAGATGACAGAAACCGATGGTTAGAGACCTTGAATGACATGGCTCAAAATCGTTTGCAATGGCGAAGGTGCATCTACTCTTTGTGTTCTACCAAATTCTAATCTGAATTCTTCATGTCTGTATCCTTTTTCTCTTTCCAAATTTATTTCACTGTATTATACTCCTTCAATAACATCTTCAAACCCTTATCTTTCACATTAATGCTTATACTCTTACTACTTCTACCACTATGGGATTTGAATCGACAACTTCATCTCTGTGCTAATGTGGTATGGCAACTCGAACTGATGTACGTACGTACGAAGTTCTACGTTGTAACTGACTGACTGACTGACGATATTCCAAAAACCGCTATCATCACTGCCTTCGGACTGTACGAATTTTTGCGAACGCTTTTTGGCCTACGAAATGCTGCCTAGACTTTCCAAAAGTTCATAGATGACGTTTTTCGAGGTCTCAACTCCGTACATGAGTATCGCATTAGACGCATCCGATTCAGCAATCGGAGGAGTCTTACAACAATGGGTTAACCACTCCTGGCAACCTTTAAGATTTTTCCCGAGACGGTTGCTGGACACTGAATCAAGGTACGACACGTTCGGTAGGGAACTTCTAGCTATATATTGTGCTGTACGGCATTTTCAACGCTTTATAGGAGATCGAGAATTCACTCTTTTTACTGATCACAAACTCCTTGCTTTCTTTTTATGCTCATATCCAGACAAGTACTCGACAAGTCTCGACAACTGGACTTCATTTCACAGTTTACTCCAGATATACAACACATTTCTGGAGCAAACAATGTGGTCGCAGACACCTTGTCTCATGTAACTTCCATGAACGATTTCCAAGGAATCAACTTTCTTAAACTCGCACAGCTCCAAAAAGAGGACACTAATTCGAGGTAAAGACCGGTGTTAGGCAAGGTTGATTACTCTCACCCTTTCTCTTTCTCCTGGTAATCGACTAGATCATGAAGACGTCAACATCTGGAGGGAGGCACGGGATACAATGGACAGCTAGGATACAGCTGGACGATTTAGACTTCGCAGATGATCTGGCACTTCTATCACACATGCAACAACAAATGCAGGAGAAAACGACTAGTGTAGAAGCAGTCTCAGCAGCAGTAGGTCTCAATATAAACAATGGGAAAAGCAAGATTCTTCGATGCGACACAACAAGCATCAACCGAATTACACGTCACGGAGAAGCTTTGGAGGATGTGAAATCCTTAACATATCTGGGCAGCATCATCGATGAACACGGTAGATCTGATGCAGATGTGAAGACACGGATCGGCAAAGCAAGAGCAGCATATTTACAACTGAAGAACATCTGGAACTCAAAACAATTGTCAACCAACACCAAGATCAGAATTTTCAATACAAACGTCAAGATATTTCTGCTGTATGGGGCGGAGACATGGAGAACTACAAAAGCCATCATCCAGAAGATACAGGTGTTTATTAACAATTATCTACACAAGATACTTCAGATCCGTTGGCCAGACATCATCAGCAACATTCTACTGTGGGAGAGTACAAACCAGATTCGAGGGAAGAAAGAAATAAGGAAGAAGCGCTGGAAGTGGATTGAGCACACTTTGAGGAAATCACCCAACTGCGTCACAAGACAAGCCCTCAGTGGAATCCTGAAGGCCAAAGGACACATTACGCCGAGAAATGGAAACAGACATGACAAGAATGAACAAAAATTGGATAGAAATAGAAAGAAAGCTCAGGACAGAAGGGGCTGAAGAATGCTGGTCGGCGGCCTATGCTTCATTCGGGGTAACAGGCGTAACTAAGTAATCAACAAGTGATTCGACAAACATATCTCACAGCTTTTTATAGGACCAATTTTTTCGTTATTGTAAGCACGTTACTTCCTTGAATTCAGATAACATGAATCGTCTGGCAATGATCTGTTTACATGAAGCTACAAAAATGCTGGTATGTTTCCTTATCGGCAGCTCATTCAGTGAATATCTTGAAACCTTGTAAGTCTGACTACAGGTTTAGCGACACAATCATGCATGCAA